TTTCCTTCCAGGCGGTGCACACTCACCTTAGACATGTAATCTTTTCCTTCCAGGTTGTGCACACTCACCTTAGACTGGTGCTCTTTTCCTTCCAGGCGGTGCACACTCACCTTAGACAGGTGCTCTTTTCCTTCCAGGCGGTGCACACTCACCTTACACAGGTGCTCTTTTCCTTCCAGGCGGTGCACACTCACCTTACACAGGTGCTCTTTTCCTTCCAGGCGGTGCACACTAACCTTAGACAGGTGCTCTTTTCCTTCCAGGCAGTAAGAACTCATCTTAGACAGGTGCTCTTTTCCTTCCAGGCAGTAAGTACTCATCTTAGACAGGTGTTCTTTTCTTTTCAGGCAGTAAGTACTCACCTTAGACAGGTACTCTTTTCCTTCCAGGTTATACACACTCACCTTAGAAAGGTGCTCTTTTCCTTCCAGGTGGTGCACACTCACCTTAGACAGGTGCTCTTTTCCTTCTAGGCTATGCATACTCACCTTAGACATGTACTCTTTTCCTTCCAGGCGGTGCACACTCACCTTAGACAGGTGCTCTTTTCTTTCCAGGCGGTGCACACTAACCTTAGACTGGTGCTCTTTTCCTTCCAGGTGGTACACACTCACCTTAGACAGGAGCTCTTTTCCTTCCAGGCGGTGCACACTCACCTTAGACTGGTACTCTTTTCCTTCCAGGCGGTGCACACTCACCTTAGACAGGAGCTCTTTTCCTTCCAGGCGGTGCACACTCACCTTAGATAGGTGCTCTTTTCCTTCCAGGCGGTGCACACTCACCTTACACATGTGCTCTATTCCTTCCAGGCGGTGCACACTCACCTTAGACATGTACTCTTTTCCTTCCAGGCGGTGCACACTCACCTTAGACATGTGCTCTTTTCCTTCCAGGCAGTAAGTACTCATCTTAGACAGGTGCTCTTTTCCTTCCAGGTTATGCACACTCACCTTAGAAAGGTGCTCTTTTCCTTCCAGGCGGTGCACACTCACCTTACACAGGTGCTGAATCGCGTTCAGGAGAGGAATGTTTTGGCCAAAAAAGTCATATGCAGCAAAAACACGTACAAATGCATATAAACGATTGTAAATGCGCCTAAATGCCAGCCACGCTTAGCGCTTGACCCTTTATTCATGTCAATGGAAAGTACTGTGGCCAATCAAATGAATGAATGTCCAAGTGCTAAACGCGGGTAAACGCAGCTAAATGTGGTACCACATTTAAGGTGGGAATACACGATTAGAAAATCGACCGATCGGTCATCTAACGGCCGAGAGGCGTTCGTTCATTGGTGGAAATTGTGGCCTGCATTAACCAATCTAAAAAAATTGTTTGTCAGGCAATATGTAGTGTTGACGTCTTCCGTACAAGTGGAAGTGATGCGGTGTGCGTGTGACCTTGTAGCCACGCCCCTTCCGGCCAGAACGAGCGATATATACAATTACCAGCAATGAGTATAAGATCGTTTATCACATCACCTATATACATAAATATAACACTTTTCAACAGGTAAAAAGTTTTGGGCATAAAATTAGCTAATCTTACATAATTTTGGGGTGCTGAAAACGAAAATGGCCCTAAAAAATGTTGATTGGCTCTAGTTTCCATGATATATTCACCCATCTAATGACGTAAGCCATTCAAAATTATGATGCAACTTCAGCTGCATATTGCGCAATTGATACTGGTGACCAATAGAAAATTGCATGTATACTGAGATGATGCAATATTAGCCTTTAATTGCATCACTTCACTGCATAAAAGCTGCAGTATCTGTAGCTGATTGTAGTTCGACAGCGTCTTTACATTTCGTTTTATGCTTATATAGGCTACTCAGTAATGCCTCGAACTTGTGTGAATAAAGCAGATAATTTCTGCTATATCTGCGGTGAAATAACTTTTATCTCACAAAAAAGGAGGATAACAGGAATGATTAAGAAAGCCTACAACTTGTATTTTGGCTGCAAGATAGGAGACCAGGACAAGAGCTGGGCACCACATATATGCTGCAATTCTTGTGGGACGGCACTGGAGCAATGGTTGAATGGAAAAAAGGCATCTATGCCTTTCGCTGTGCCAATGATTTGGAGAGAGCCAACAGATCATGTTAGTAATTGTTACTTTTGTATGGTGCCTCCAATTGTAAAAGGGCTAAATAAGAAGAAAAAGTTATCTGTGCACTATCCAAATATTCCATCGGCAATACGTCCAGTTCCTCATGGAGAGGGGCTACCAATTCCTAAAGCACCAGAATCCTTCGTGGTTGAGTCAAGTGAGGAAGAACCTGAAGCGTGTAGTCACGTGCAGTTGTAAGAGATAGCCCTTTCCTCGAATACAAGAGAAAAGCCAAGAGAAGCAAAACCGACACAAACTGAAGACAAAACTAGTGAGAATCCTAAGTATTAAAATGATTCAACTTAGCTTATGGCTATAATTTTTCTTGGTAATCCTATGCAATATATTATGCCATTTAGGCTTTGTTATGTAGTCAATATCACTTGCTTTATATTTGTGGAAAGACATCTATCTATATAATTATTGTGCATTATGTAGTCATTACGCCTATAGTAGAAAACTTTCCGTTTAGGGACAGAAAAACTAGAGCCAATGGACAAATTTCATTGTTATATTTGAACGCAGAATGTGAAATTCATTAAGAAATGGATCCTTTTGTTTCCAAAACTGGCAAAAAATAAAAATTTGTTGAACAGTGTAATCTGCACAATTCTGGTTTTATGATCTCATTAGGCCAATCTACTTTTAACATTTGGATTTTTCATGTTTACGAAGATTTCTTGGATATAATCATCCGAGTCATCTTCTGTTTCCGCTCATGCGTGATAGCGCTTGATAGATTTTTTCCGTACGACCGTCATACCAACGCATAGAAAATCGGTCATTCATATGCAAAACGACAACATTTTTCACTGTTGTTCAACCGGATTTTTTCGTTCACAATATCTTTCCGCTCATCAACAAAGTGAAAATCGTCCGATCAGTGGTTCCACAAAATTTTTCACACGATTTTCTTATCGTGTGTACGGGGCATTACATGTGTTTTTGCCACGTTTAGCATTTTTCTATAGGAGTTCCAGTGTACCTTAACCACCTCCCGCCCGCCATATAGCAAAATGACAGACGCAAGGCGGTTCTCTCGTTCTGAGAGGACGTCATATGACATCCTCCCATTCTAACCGCGCATGCGCGGCTCCAGGAGCGCACAGAGCGGCGATCGGCGGTGCGCTGTGTTCCTCGGACACAGCGGATCACCGATCAACAGAGCCGAAGATGTCAGCTCGGTCATGTGATCAGCTGTATCCAATCACAGCTGATCATATGTAAACAAGGAAATGCTGGTTATCGGCATTTCTCTCCCCACGAGCTGTCACGCTGACAGAGGAGAGGAGAGCCAGTAATCGGCATTCCTCGGAGGGGACATGTACACTGATCATCAGAGCACTGATGATGAGTGTGCCCTGATGATCAGTGTGGCCCCAGAAGTGACACTTGTCAGTGTCCATCAGTGCCACCTGTCAGTGTCCATCACTGCCACCTGTCAGTGTCCATCAGTGCCAGCTCTCAGTGCTCATCCATGCAACCTGTCAGTGTCCAGCTCTCAGTGCCAGCAACCTGTCAGTGCTCATCCATGCCACCTGTCAGTGTGTCCATCAGTGCCAGCTCTCAGTGCTCATCCATGCCACGTGCCAGTGCCCATCAGTGCCACATCAATGCCACATATCAGTGCCTACCAGTGCACATCAGTGCCACATATCAGTGCCCATCTGAGCTGCTTTTCAATGCTGCCCGTCAGTGCCGCCTATCAGTGCCCATCAGTGATGCCTGTCAATGTCCATCAGTGCCACCTATCAGTGTCCATCAGTGCAGCCTATCAGTGCCCATCACTGTAGCCTCATTAGCGCACATCAGTGAAGGAGAACAATCACTTATTTACAAAATTTTATAACAAAAACTAAGAAAAACATTTTTTTTTTCAAAATTTTCAGTCGTTTTTGGTTCGTTTAAGAAAAAATAAAAAACCCAGAGGTGATTAAATACCACCAAAAGAAAGCTCTATCTGTCACAAAAAAATGATAAAAATTTCATATGGGTACAGTGTTGCATGACCGCGCAATTGTCAAAGTGCAACAGCGCTGAAAGCTGGAAATTGGCCTGGGCAGGAAGGGGGTAGAAGTGCCCTGTAGGCAGGTGGTTAATGCTGCTGTCCAGCACGGCTGCCTGGATGACAGGACTGGCCAAACAGACTTACATTGCTCAACAGGTTATACAGCTCTCATATATGTACAATAAATGTCTATTCAGCTGCTCTGATGACTTCATATTACAATGTATAGAGAAAGGCTTCTATCTGGATGTATAAGCATGCTTCCTTTTTTCTTTTCAGAAATCCAAACGTGAGAGAGAATTACAGATCCTTGTACAATATGTTCCTGTCTAAAATTCCTACAATGCTGATCATGTGTTGGTTGTCAATGGAGACTGTAGAAGGTAAGAAACCTGCTCTAAGTTCCCTGTTCTGTACACCTGCTGTGACCATCATCAGGGGTTCCCACCATCCCTGCAGCAGATTTCCCAGGTTTTGTACACCTGCTGTGCCCATTATCAGGGGTCCCCACCATCCCTGCACCAGAATTCCCAGGTCTGTACATCTGCTGTGCCCATTGTAAGGGGTTCCCACCATCCTTGTACTGAGTTCCTGGGTCTGCCCACCTGCTGTGCCCATTATGAAGGGTTCCCACCATCCCTGCACCCGAGTTCCTGGATTTGTACACCTGCTGTGCCCATTATCAGGGGTCCCCACCATCCCTGCACTAGAGTTCCCAGGTCTGTACACCTGCTGTGCCCATTATCAGGGGTCCCCACCATCCCTGCACCAGAGTTCCCAGGTCTGTACATCTGCTGTGCCCATTATAAGGGGTTTCCACCATCCTTGTACTGAGTTCCTGGGTCTGCCCACCTGATGTGCCATTATGAAGGGTTCCCACCATCCCTGCACCCGAGTTCCTGGATTTGTACACCTGCTGTGCCCATTATCAGGGGTCCCCCACCATCCCTGCACCAGAGTTCCCAGGTCTGTACACCTGCTGTGACCATTATCAGGGGTTCCCACCATCCCTGCACCAGAGTTCCCAGGTCTGTACATCTGCTGTGCCCATTAAAAGGGGTTCCCACCATCCTTGTACTGAGTTCCTGGGTCTGCCCACCTGATGTGCCCATTATGAAGGGTTCCCACCATCCCTGTGCTGAGTCCCCAGGGTCTGCACACCTGCTGTGCCCATTATGAACGGTTCCCACCATCCCTGCACCTAAGTTCCTGGATTTGCATTCACTATATCTGGTCTCCCAGGACCCTACATTCACTATATCTGGTCTCCCCGGACCCTGCATTCACTATATCTGGTCTCCCCAGACCCTGCATTCACTATATCTGGTCTCCCCGGATCCTGCATTCACTATATCTGGTCTCCCCAGACCCTGCATTCACTATATCTGGTCTCCCTGGATCCTGCATTCACTATATCCGGTCTCCCCGGATCCTGCATTCACTATATCTGGTCTCCCCGGACCCTGCATTCACTATATCTGGTCTCCCTGGACCCTGCATTCACTATATCTGGTCTCCCCGGACACTGCATTCAGTATATCTGGTCTCCCCGGACCCCGCATTCACTATATCTGGTCTCCCCAGACCCTGCATTCCTATATCTGGTCTCTTCACTGCATTCAGTATATCTGGTCTCCCCGGACCCCGCATTCACTATCCCCAGACCCTGCATTCACTGGTCTCCCACAGTACACACAACATGAAAATGCAATTACTTTAGTAAATAAAAACTGCTAAATACCTATCTTTTCTCATCAGCAGTTAGAACAGTCTTGTGACTTCTATCAGTGTCCAGAGCACTGCTTGGGAGTTTTCTTTCTGTTCTAGGAGGATGCAGAACCCCTGACCTCCTGTCTGGACAGTGCTGATTGACCCTGTGATGAGCACATGCACTCTCCCAAGAAAAAAAAAAACTATCAATAAACTCTAAACTGAGCATGTGCAGAATGGCTTCAGTCTGTCTTATCAGGAGACATGAGGTGGACATTTGAACAAGAGAAGGAGCAGTGAAGACAGGATCAAATGGCCTGTTTCCACAATGTGGCTGATTAACCCCTTAGGTTCCACAGTGAGTATAACAAGCATGCTTTACTGCATATACAGACTGATTGTACTGTTGTGGGTTTAGTAACAGTTTAACCTCCCTGGCGGTATGATCATGTCAGGAATTTTGTGCTGAAAGCGGTACCATTTTTTTGCATGGAAATATGTAGTTTTTAATTGTAGGCTGTAATTTTTAGGAATAACTCACTGAAATCTATCCGAGTCTATTAAACATTCCGGGTATGATAAAACTTGAAACACGAAATCATAAATTATAATTTAATAAATAATCATAAAAAATAATAATATAATAATAATAAATTTAATTCAATAATATAATCAAACCAAAAACAATGAAATGTGAAATACAGAGGCAAATTCGCACATCGCTGAGCAAAGTCGCAAAATCGTTTTCAGTGTCTGATGAGGAATTTCCCCCACGAATCATTATCACTCAATTCTGCAAGTGGTTCTGATTTACTATCGCTGTTCTAAAACCGCTTTTGATGTAAAGGGACGCTTTTTGGCCGCCATGGACTTTTCTAAGTTTCCAGGCAGAAAGAACATTCAAAATGCAGGCAGGGCACAGGACAAAGCAGTGGGGACAAAATGTATGTGAAATGCAGTGAAAAAGCAATGACAGCAAAAATGTCATTTTTTAAAAATTTCAAATTTCCCGCCGGTTCTGCCGCCCGAACGTTCTGACGTCACGGGGACCGGAACACGGAAGCCAGATGCCGGCATCCGCCGGAGGAGATGGACGGGGACGCTGCAGGGGACCCATCGTGGGAGCGAAGGACAAGGTAAGTGCTGCAGGGACCCCCAGAGAACGCTGCATGGTAAGCCCGAGTGTAGCTCGGGGTTACCGTTCTTGGTATAGAAATTCTACCCCGAGCTACACTCGGGAAAACCGCCAAGGAGGTTAACCACTTGCCCTCCTGAGGATATACCCCCCTTCCTGACCAGGCCATTTTTTGCGATACAGCACTGCATACTTTTACTGAAAATTGCACAGTCATGCAACGTTGCACCCAAATTAAATTTACATCCTTTTTTTCCCACAAATTGAGCTTTCTTTCGGTGGTATTTGATTGCCTGTGCGGTTTTTATTTTTTGCACTATAAAAAAAAGACAGACAATTTTGAGAAAAAAACAATATTTTTGACTTTTTTGCTATTAAACATGCCCATTAAAAAAAGTTATCAAATCAAATTTCGTCATAAATTTAGGCCAAAACGTATTCTTCTACATGTCTTTGCTGAAAAAATCCTAATACGTGTAAATTAATTGGTTTACATGAAAGCTTTAGCATTTACAAATGGCGGTATAGATACAGGATTTACACTCGGGCTTACCATGCAGCGTTGCTCAGGGAGTCCCTGCAGCACTTACCTTGTCCTTCGTTCTCCCGTGATGTGTCCCCTCCAGCGTCCCCGGCCATCTCTTCCGGCCAATGCCGGCATCCGGCTTCCGTGTTCCCGTCCCTGTGACGTCGGGACGTACGGGCGCCGGAACCGGCGGGAAATTTGAAATTTTTTAAAAATGTCATTTTTGCTGTCATTGCTGTTTCAATGCATTTCACATACCAAATGCCTTTGCAAACCTAGTTGTTATCTTGTAAAAACAACTGTGACATCATCACAGTGTAGTATAAACCTTTAACAGAGCTAAGGGAGTGGCCCAGCAGGCTCCACCCTGTAGAAAACTATAGGAGGAGGCGGAGATCAGACCAGTCACCCTGCACAAGGACAGAGAGCAGCAGTGATAGGTCTTTATTATAGATATAAGGTCTTCCACTGGATTAATGCACAGATCTGGAAGAAATACACAAAGCACACCAGGATTCAAGTAATAATGAGGTATGTATTTAGATAATATTCACTTCTCATTGAGTTCAGCTTTAACCGTTATCTGACCGCCCTATAGCAGAAATACTGCTACAGGGTGGCACAGGTGAGCAAAATCATGTATATATATGTGATCCCAGCAGGGGCGGACTGACAACTCATGGGGCCCCAGGGCAATAGGGGATCATGGGGCCCCTGTGTCCTTGCCCAAACTCAAAAAAGCCTATGAAAAAGGTACCAGGGACATCTAAATGGGGCCCTCGGGCAGTGCCTGAGTTTACAAATGGTCAGTACGCCCCTGAATCCCAGTATAAATACCGCCATTTGTAAACGCTATAACTTTCACATAAATCAATTAATTTACACGTATTGGGATTTTTTTAGCAAAGACATGTAGCAGAATACATTTTTGCCTAAATTTATGAAGAAATTTGATTATTTAATTTTTTTTTACTGGATATGTTTAATAGCAAAAAGTTAAAAATATTGGTTTTGTATTTTCAAAATTATTGGTCTTTTTTTTTATAGCGCAAAAAACAAAAAACACACAGGTAATCAAATACCACCAAAAGAAAGCTCAATTTGTGGGAAAAAATGGAGGTAAATTTCATTTGGGAGCAGCGTTGCATGACCACGCAATTGTCAGTTAAAGTAACACAGCTCCGTAACGCAAAAAATGGCCTGGTCTGGAAGAGGGGTATATCCTCTGGAGGGCACGTGGTTAATCGGCCCCTAAACGATACAATCTGTGTCTTCTCTCTCTCTCTCTCTCTCCTCTCTCTCTCTCTCTCTCTCTCTCTCTCTCTCCCTCTCCCTCTCTCCTCTCTCTCTCCCCCCCCTCCCCCCTCTCTCTCTCTCTCTCCCTCTCTCTCTCTCTCTCCTCTCCCTCCCCTCTCCTCTCCCCCCCTCTCTCTCTCCCCCCTCTCTCTCTCTCTCTCTCCCCCCCCCCCTCTCTCTCCCTCTCTCTCTCTCTCTCTCTCTGTGCGTCTTCCTCTCTGACACAATGACATCTCTTTTCTTCTACACAGAACATCCAGTCCTGCCAGTTTGTTAAATCCGGGAGGTTTGGCATTTCCTCCTTCTCCTGGGTTTTGTGTTTCTCAGGTTTTGGATGGGGTCGGGGAGGTGGGGGGGGCTCCTTGTCTTGGCAGTTAGTAAACCTCAGACTGGCACAACGCCCTCTCCTGGCTATAATGAGATCATCACACTGCAACATTACATTTCTTATAATAAGAGATGAGGGTGCTCGCCGTGTTCCTCACGCACCATGAAGGACTACAATATTACCATCAACCTTGGAGTCTAGCTTCACATGTCTATCCTAACAGATTCCTGTAAGATCAATGGGAGGAGTCCTGTGTCTATGCCCCTCCCCCATGACTGACAGCTATGACATGCTAGGGTTTTTTCCTTTTGCGCTGATTGTCACCTCTGTGTCCTTCTAGGTGCGAAAAACTGCTATGACAAACTCGGCTGTTTCTACGATGATAAGCCATGGTCCGGTACTCTGCAGAGGAAGGTCGTTCCTCTACCCTGGAGCCCCAAAAAGATTAATACCCGATTCTTCCTCCACACCAGGGACAACCCCCAATTTTACCAGGCGAGTCACAGCCTAAATTCCCACTGCTTATCAATATAATGTCCTCACCACAGTCACATACTGTTATTATTATTCATGTATATACTATAGCTCTGACCTATTCCGTAGTGCTGTACAGAGAACACTGAGCTTGTCACATCAATCTCTGCACCAGAGGAGCTTACGCTCTAATGTCCCGCCAACAGCCACCCATGTAGTGCACCCTCTAAAGAACTACTGATGAGCTTAGTCTTGTTTCCCAAGATGAAGCACACAGCCAGGCACACAGCATTTTCTTCACTCTTCCACTGGCTCAAAGAAACAGTCGAGGGGTGTCTTTTTTAAGGTTTTATTGGGAGTGTTGAACTTGGATGAGGCGAAGGGCAGTGTTAATTTCATTGACCAAAATATTTTTGTTGATGAAATTAACACTATTCAGAGGACTAAAATACAAATAAAAATAAAACAATTGAGATGACTAAAATACGACTAAAAATATAATAATTGACGACTAAAATACGACTAAAAATAAAAAAAATTGAGATGACTAAAATACGACTAAAAATATAATAATTGACGAGTAAAATACGACTAAAAATATATATAATTGACGACTAAAATAAAACGACTAAAAATAAAACAACTGAGATGACTAAAATACGACTAAAAATAAAATGGCATTTTAGTCAAAAGACTATGACTCGGCTAAATCAAGATTTGTTGTCAAAATTAACACTTGTATATCACAACGGCTAAACCTGTGTCTGCCATGCATGTTCAAACCTTCATACCATAAATAACAATATGTTATTAGATTTTTACTCTAGGAGTATACTGTATAATAAATTTGAAATTCTGGAGAAATGCTTAAAAATAGGGCTTTTTTTCCCCTCATTTATACTTACCCCGGTGGATGCAGCATCGGTCCAATGCTGCATCGGTCCCCCATTGGCTCTAAGTGTGAGAACTCGCCACTGATCGCTCAATTCTCACAGCCTCTCTAAGCAGAGAGCGCTGACTGTCAGTGC